AACTCAAGAATTTGTTTATATAAATTGTTATTGTAACACGTGTAAATGCAGAGTTGTATTTAAAATAAATTAATATTTGATCCTGTGCACAATGACGGAGCTGTACATGGGCCGGGGGCCCGTGGGCCCCCCCTGATTTTTTTTAAATCCAATATATATATATATATATATATTTATTAAAATGCTTTAAAAATGTATAGAAATATAAAAAATAACTATAAATTTTGTATAAAAATGCAAAAAGTATTTACAATGTATTAATAATTAAAACTTATTTTTAAGTAATTCTAATTAAATTAATAATATCATTTATTTACTAAATAATGTACCAACAATCCTTGTATTTAACATTTCTAGATAAGTTTTTTAAAATAATTATAATGATTTAAGGCCTCTTAATTGTAAATCAATTAAGTGATTTATAAAACTTTGTATTTGGTTAGATTGTTACATTTTTAAATGTTGATTTTTTACTTCTTTTTTTTTTTTGCGTAATCACATATTTTTAAATTTGTTTATTTTTTCTTAAAAAAATGTTCATTTGATGTCCTCTTCTCAACAAAAATGTTATGCAATTTGCTGCAAAAATTCAATTGAAACCAAATTTCAACCAAAAAACTTATTTTTTCATAAACTAAATCGATGTTGAACTTAAATTATAAATACATGAAATCTCATATTTTTTTGTTTAGTAATAAGGATTTTAAGTTTTTAAAAATTTGATGGTACACTTGTCGATATTTATATTTATAGTAAATACATTTTTACATGAAATGAACATTTTGACTTAAACTACAAACTCGTTATAACATTTAAAATTGGGCCCCACTGAATGAAATTTCTAGATCCGTCACTGCTTGTGCATGTGCACATGTGTTTAAATTATTATAAGTTATATGTATATGTATAATAATAAAATTATAAATTAAATAATAATATTAGATTTTAAAAAAAAAATTGACATTAGTAAAAATAAACATCATAAAAGTATTCAACTTTATCACGATATTTATTGCATAAAATGAAATGGATAATTATTTTTCATTAAATTCAACTAATATAGTGTACAATCTCCCAATAAAATTTTAAATTTGAAAGAGTTAGCGTAAATATCTCTATTACAAAATATGTTTTTTTATATACATATTTTAGATTGTGTCTATATTATATCAATAATTAATACTTCTTTTACGTGTGAATAATTAACATACAAATTTTTTTAAAAAAATAACCATTCAAATTTAATGGTTTAAATATTATCTTGTCGCCATGCAACAGTTACATGCCCCAAATATAGGGAAAAAAAATTCGTAATCCCATGTAACCGTTACTAACTCAAAATATAGTAAAAAATAGGTGGATAATTGTATGAAACAAATTAAAAGAAAGAATAAATAATAAAATATGTTGTAATTGATTTTGTAGAGTCATAAAGATTTTTATTAAATGAACTATATTTTTATTAATTGTTGGCTGAATAAAATTAAATGAAGTTTGCCAATAATCATATATATAGATAGATTATTTAAATCGAGAAAACAAAATTATATAATGAGTATATATTATTAATTTATTTAATAGTTTTTTATGCTGTTTTTCTTATCACAAGTTAATATTATACACTCTTTATTATAAAAAA